TTGAGTTGCAATGTTAAGTCATTTATTTGTCGTCTTTCTGATTTTTTGATGTAGGCATTTGGAGGTATAAACTTCCCTCTAAGGACAGCTTTCAGCATGTTCCAGAGGTTTTGTTGTGTTGTATTGTCCTTTTCATTTAGCTCCAGGAATACTTTTATTTCTTTCTTAATTTCTCTTTTGACCCATTCATCATTTAGGAGTGTGTTGTTTAATCTCCATGTGTTCATGTGGTGATTAGGACTTCTTCTGGTGTTAATTGTAAGCTTTATTGCATTGTGGTCTGATAGAATGCATGGAATTATTTCAATTTTTTTGTATTCGGTGAGGTTTGTTTAGTGCCCCAGTATATGGTCGATTTTGGAGAAGGTTCTATGGGATGCTGAGTAGAAAGTTTGTCCTTTGGTGCTTGGGTGGAATACTCAGTAGATCTCTGTTAAGTCCATTTGATATATGGTATTGTTTAATTCTGATGTTTCTCTGTTCACTCTCTGCTTTGTTGACCTATCTAATGGAGACAGTGGGGTATTGAAGTCCCCTACTTTTATTGAGTTGCGATTAATCTGGGTCTTAAAGTCGTGTAGTATTGTTTTTATGAAGTTGGGTGCACCAGAGTTTGGTGAATATATGTTCATGATTGTAATATTATTAGTTTTAGTTTAAAGTCTATTTTGTCAGATAATAGAATTGCAATGCATGTTTTTTTCTTAATACCATTTGTTTGGTATATTTTTTCCATCATTTCACTTTGAGATAGTGTCTGTCCTTGAAAGTGAGATGAGTTTCTTAAGATAACAAAAAGATGTGTTTTGTTTCTTAATCCATTCACCTAGTCTGTGTCTTTTGACTGGGGAGTTCAGTCCATTAATATTTAAAGTTACTAATGAAAGATGAGTATTGAATCCTGTCATTTTTATTTCTGTTTACATTCTTGATATAGCTGTACTTTTCTGCAGTTATACCTTCATTGAATTTCTTTCTGCAAGCCCTTGGGTATAATCATTCCTTTCTTCCGCTCTTTGTATTGCTTCCTGAACTCTCTGAAGGGCTGGTTTTGTGGACATGAATTCCTTCAGCTTATTTATGTCATGGAAGATTTTTCTTTCCCCTTTGATTATAATATCCATTTTGGTTGGATATAGTAATCTGGGTTGGCATCTGTGGTCATTTAAAACTGGGAATACTTTGGTCCAGGGTCTTCTGGCTTTCATAGTTTGCACTGAAAAGTCAGCTGTAATCCTAATGGGTTTTCCTTTATATGTGACTTGTTTCTCTTTTGCAGCTTTCAGTATTGTCTCTTTGTTTTGTTCGTTTAGTTTTTTTACTCTGATGGCCCCTGGAGAGTTTCTTTTGTGGCCTTGTCTGTTTGGTGTTCTATATGCTTCTTGTATTTGTATGGACATGTCTTTCTTTAATTTGAGGAAATTTCTTTCTATGATTCTGTTGAGGATCTGGTCCATGCTGTTATCTTGGGATTTTTCTCCTTCCTGTATACCTATGATTCATAAGTTTGGTCTTTTTATGGTGTTCCACAATTCCTGCATACTTCATTCTTGTGATTTCTTAAATTTTTCATAATCTTTGCTTGAGTGGTCTAGTTCATCCACTTTATCTTCCAGTCTTGATATTCTGTTTTTCATTTCATTCATGTTATTGGTGAGGCTTTCTCCTGTTGTTTGTAATTGGCTTACTGAGTGTTTCACTTCCTTCTTCATTTCAGCCTGAGTAGTCCTCAATATTTCTAGGTCTTTTCTGAATTAATTCAGAAGTTTATCCCTATCTTCCTTAGGTTCTTTGATTTCTTTGTTTATGTTTTCTTTAAATTCACTGAATTCTTTTGTCATGTTTATAATTGTTCTTTTGAGTTCCATGTCCTGCGTTATCTCTAGGGGGTTCTCATTGTACTCCTCTAGAGGACTATTGGTATTTGGTGGGGATATGTTATTTTGGTTTTTCATGTTATTTTTTCTCTGTGATTTTGACATGTGAATTTCTTTTGTAGTTTCTGATTTTTGTGTGAGACTCATGCCTTCAAGTTTAGGTCTGCTGCTTTTTGTAAACTTTATATACTTTTGTGATTTACTTTTGGGGCATGAAAAGGTGGTTCCTCTAAGCTTCCAGTTCTCTCTTTTGATTTTATAATAGAGTGGCCAAATTGCTTTTGTCTTCAGGAGTTCCCACAGAGGCCCAAGTCAGATGAGGATCAGATGCTCTCAGGCTTTCTCCTAAGGTCTGGATCCCTCCAGGAAAGATATTGTCCTCCAGAATTTGGTTTTGGACTGGCCTGGGCACACAGCCCAGGAAAGATGCTGGTCTTGGGCAGCTGGTGGCCATGCCACCCAGAGTTGCAAATGGAGATGCGGTGCAGGAAGCAGCCCCAAGGGCTCCTGGGGATTGCAGGGAGGAACTGGGGTCGTCTGGGTGCAAAGGATCAGGAAGCTGAGAGGTCATCCACCATGTGCAGGAAAGAGGCTGGCAGGTTGTTCAGCCCAGGGAAGCAGAGGGAGGTGAGAAATGCTTAAAATTTTATCTCTCTATCACCATCTCAATGAGTTCTCAAAACCATCACTCTAGATTATTGCTGTTATTTACCTTCTTTGTCAATGAAATTTAGATACATAAAAATTAGCATTGAGATGGTGATGGAGAGTTGCTGTCCTCTCCCTCCCATTGCTGTCACTTTCCCTCTTTCGCCAGCATCCTTAGAATGACCTCATTTCTTACTATGTCACTGTAATTTTTGTTGTTGTTGTTTGAAACAGGGTATGCTTGTAGCCCCGGCTGGCCTGGAACTCACTATGTAGACCAGGCTTGCCTCCCCCATGCAGAGATTAAAGGTGTCTGCCCCCATACCTGGCTATTATTTGATGTTTTTGTAAAAATGTCATGCATTCTGTTATATAGATACCAATATTTTTTTAAAATGTCTTATTTCAGAATTTTAAAATACTATAACATTCACATTAATGAATAAGAATTAACCTGAATATTAGTAATAATAAACATGTTTAAAAAAAATTAAGAATAGGCTGAAGAGATGGCTCAGCAGTTAAGAGCACTGGCTGCTCTTGCAGAGGACCTGGATTCAGTTCTCAGCACCCACATGGTGGGTAACAACCATCTGTAACTCCAGTTCTAGGGTCTCCAAATCCTTCCTCTGACCTCTGCAGGCACTGCACAACATGGGTGCACTTACATACATGCAGACAATTCACTCATACACATACAATAAATAAATAAAAAAAATATTTTTTAAACATTAAGAACATGGCATATTCTTTTTATTCATTGAAGTGGAATTAGCTTCAGCATATATACATCTCTTATGGGGAAGATAGATGAGGGCAGAAGAGATGGGAGAAGGATGGAGGCCACAGGCACGAGAGAAAAGACAGGTCACAACAGAAAAAGATAGTAGAGTTGTAGAGGAACTCTTAATGTTTGTGACTGGAGTCAATATTTAGGACTTAGTGCCATTTGTGCAAGTTGGGCTTTTTTTCTAGATTGTAAGTTGGTGGAGAAATACAAGAAGATACATGGTTAACAGTGTATTTGTGTATTTGTGGCTTATTTAACTTTCTATAGAAAAAGTGAAGAAATACTTTTCTGATGTATGCTATTCCTGGAATGTATTGAACATCTAGTTCAATTAGATTCTTTGAGGTGCTGCCTAAAAGACATATTTGCAATGATCTTCGCTCTAGTGAATGCAACTTGCTTTCTTATATTGTCTGCTGTACAAGACTCTTGGCAATATAGCAGAGTATGCTCTCTGCATTTCATATGATTAGTGCATAATCTGAAGTTCCATGCGGGGTTTTCTTTACATTTGATATTAACTTCAGAGTTCAGATAAGTCCTTTGAAATGCTATCATATTAAAGAGTATCTGTAAATAAAAGTTAAGTACCCTCATCTTGTTAATGTACTTTTCACATTTTGTGTGTTTCTTCTATGTAATCCTAAATTAGAAGTGACACATACCTCTGATATCACAGCTTGGATTCACATGGGGTTGTCAGTTACATGACTATTTTTAAAAGTCTGGACTTTGCAAAGTTCTGCTCTGCTGGACACTCAGAATTTTCTTTCTCTGAAGACATAACTTGCCACTGGTTATGTCTTTACAATTTTCTTTGGTATTTCTGAAACTTCAACTTTATAACTTTTGTGCTATATGTTTGGCTTTGGTAATGCTTTTTTTTCTATGTTTAAAAGAATTGATAGTTCTTTATTACTAAGAACTGCAAGAGAGATTATCACTGAACCTTACAAAAAAATAGGCTTGCTTTATTAACAGAAATTTAAAAAAATTCTGTAAGTGAAAAGCCATAGATTGCCAAGAGAAGTTCTTGAAACCACCTGTGAAGCATCTGCCTGTGTCTGGAAGAACACGTACATGTCTTTGAGACTGGTTAGATTCTGTGTCACCTAATAAAAAAGAGAATTTGTGCTTGCTCAGAAATACTGAGCTCTCAGTACTCATATGGTAATGGCTGTTCAGGCTAGCTCAGTCTTTCCACTGATGTGAAAGTCAGTAATTCTATCACCACAAAAATTTTGATAAAAAATCTTTTATTTAACACATGAAGTTATAGGACTTGTAAGAAGCAAAAGCTCTGTTAACTATAACTGTGTTCTTTCCAGGACCCTATTCATTACTCAGTGATTCTTCAAAATTGCATTCTCCTTTTGTTAACACCTACAGAATAAAGTATGTCATTTTTTTTCACATGCAGTTGGAGAATTTGATGCTGGATAAGGATGGCCATATAAAAATCACAGATTTTGGACTTTGCAAAGAAGGGATCACAGATGCAGCCACCATGAAGACATTCTGTGGCACCCCAGAGTACCTGGCACCAGAGGTAGGCCTCAGTGCTGTTTACAAGGAAAAGTCACACTAGCACAGTATTTTGCAAGGGAAAACAATTATTTTTCATTGCAATATTTACTTTTTCAACCATCTTTCAATCTGAATTGCTTATTTTGCCCATAATTTATTTACTGAGCTATTTTAAGGCCATGAATATACAGAAATTAAATTTTATGTGGTTGGTAAGCACAGGTATTCTTTTAAAAAATATTATTATTGTTATTTTTTGTCTCTTTTAGCCACAGCTGTCCTGGAACTCACTATGTAGACCAGGCTGGCCTTGAACTCACAGAGATCTGCTTGCCTCTGCCTCCCAAGTGCTGGCATTAAAGGTGTGCACCACCACGCCTGGCTTTATTTATTATTTTTATTTTATGTGTATGAGTGTATTGCATGTGTGTAAGTGTAACCATGTCGTGCAGTGCCCGCAGAAATCAGAAGAGGGCATCAGATCACCCTGAACTGGAGTTATAGATGGTTGTTAGCCACCATGTTGGTGCTGGGAATTGAACCTAGGAACAGCCAGTGCTTTTAACCACTGATCTGTCTCTCCAGCCATTACAAGTGTTCTTATAAAGTAGTTTACGTCAAGTTTTTTCTTGACTATACATTCTGTTTCTTGGTTATGCCCATTTTGCTTCTTTTATTAAAATAGAATTAATTGAATGGCTTTTTTTACCAACCATCTTGGTGTTTACTTAGAAGCAAATATTCTAACAGTCTTAAGTACTAGAAATTGTATTGGAAAAACTAAGAAAATGACCTACCTACATTTTTAAGTTCACAAGAAGAGATGAACAGAAGCTCCATAGCAGTGATGTCCTGTGCTCAGTAGTTTATTCAACAAATGTTTATTGTGTTTGTATGTGAAATATATTGGGGATATTTCTGTGTGACATGCCTATACAAACAAAATGGAAAAGGACTCTACTCTCAAGGAACATCTAGTAGAAAGAGACAAAATCCAAGTAAATAGCAAAACATTTTAGGTTCCATAGATAGGAAAAATAAAAGGACAATGAGGAGAAAGGCGCAGGTTGGTGTAGGAGCTACTCGGAGTTCACTGGTTAGTAGTACCATGTGACAAACTTCCCATATGTTCCTTGATGAATGCCATTTCATGTCACCTTGAACTTCTATGAAGAGTGCAGCTGAGGCAGCATAGGTGGCTCATTTCTACTCTGCTTACAAGTGTAGCCTTGGCCAGAAAGGCTTATCAGTGAGGAGGTCAAATCATGTGGAAACATCTTGACTGCTGCTAGCTGTACACTGCCATGTCATTAAGGCCATGCCATTAAGGCTGTTGACAGGGGTGCTTATATGGGGCATCTCTATGGCTTGACCTTCCCTACAATGGCAACTTCAGAGTGGTCAGAATTCTTTGGCTTGGAGATTGTCCTAGTTTGCTTTCACTGTTGTGATAATACCATGTCAAAAAGTAACTCAAGGGGGGAAAAGGTATATTTCATCCTACAGCTCATAGCCCTTCACTGAGGGAAGCCGGGCAGGAACTCAAGGCCATAGCTTGAAGTAGAAACCATGAAAGGCATGCTGCTACCTGGCTTGCTCCTAGGCTCACATGCAGCTCCTTGCCTTCCTTCCCTCCCTCTCTCCTTGCCTCCCTCCCTCCCTCCCTCCTTTATTTCTTCCCTTCCCCTCTCCCTCTTCCTCTTCTCCACCCCCCTTCTCTCTGTCTCTTGAGTCAGGGTCTCCATGTAGCCCCAGCTTGCCTGGACTCACTATGTAGACCAGGCTGGTCTCAGACTCATGGAGATCCACTTGCTCTGCCTCCCTAGTGCTGGCATTAAAGGAGTGTGCCACCTGCTCAGATACCTGTCTTATATACCCCAGGCCCACCTGCCCAGGCATGGTACTGCCTGCAGTAGGCTGGGCTCTCATATATCAGTTAGCAATCAACAAAATGCCCCACTTACATGCCCACAGGCCAATCTGATGGAGACAGTTTCTTAATTGAGTTTCCCTCAATTGAAGTGTATCATCAAGGTGACATCACAGAGATCTAATGGCAGATGTCCTAGGAACAAGCTATAAAAAGCCTTATGTTCTCCACCCCCCTTCCATATTTTAATCTAGTACACTGTCAAAAGTTTAACTTTCCAAAAACATTTTTATGATTTGCACATAGTTTGTATGCCATATAATTAATTTTTGAAAGTAAACAATTTACTTTTGAAAATATTTACAGAGTTGTGCAACTATCACTTGTAATTCAAAATAATCATTCCAGCAAGGGACCTCATGTTCATTAACTTTCCATTGTTCTTTGCCTCCAGGAAACCATTTCATGTCAGTCAGATTCAGCTTATACAACATGGAACCTTATGTGTCTGGCTTTTTCCCTTAGCAGATTGTCTTCAAGTTTCATCCATGGTGCATCATGCTATTGGTCTTCATTCCTTTTTGTGGCTACATAGTATTTCATTGCATGACTGTTTGTGATGTGTTCATTCCTTCAACTCTTGATGAGTCTTTTGTTATGAGTAATGCCACTATGAGCATTCATATATGCATCCCCTTTCCTGGTCTTTGTGTATACGTTATACAACATCATGTCTGTCATACGCTTCTTCCGTGATGCAGTTATAAGCCTTCTTAGATTCAAAGGATAGGAGCATAGACTGCAGAAGAACATGTGAGATGGGAGATACTGTGGCCCTCTTTCCAAAACAAAATCTTCCACAGATAAGATGATCAGGGAAAGTGATGTTTGCTCAAAGAGCTGAGGGATAAGGAGGAGAAAGTCATTGCAAAGAGACAAGGAAAACTGAAGCAAAACCAGCTGGGCTTCTTCCCCAGTCTACAAGAAGGCTATGTGGCTAATGCCACACAGGGAGGAAGCCTTCGTTTCTAATCAGCTACTGTACATCAGGATTTTATCTAGGTTCATTGGACCACTAAGCTTATATTTTCATTTTTAACTATACATAATGACACAACAAAAAAGGTAATCAGAAATTAAGAAGCAGAATAAATTCCATTGGCATTCCATATATACACCCCCGACACACACATATACATACACACACAGATACACAGAGACACACACATATATATGTTGGTTTACTGTTATTTTAACTTAACATTTAAATTAACATTTTAGAAAGGTTTAATTATTATAAAGTGCTGATATTTAAACATTCTTTTTTAGATTTACTTTATATGTATGAGTATTTTGCCTGTATATGTGTAGGTGCACCCATGCATGCAATGCCCATGGAGGCCAGTGGAGGGTGTCAGATCCTCATATCTGGAGCCACGTGGATGCTGGGAACTGAACCCAGGTCCTCTATAAGAGTACTGGCTGCTCTTAACCACTGAGCCAGCTCTCAGGCCCTCAAATATTTAAACTATAATAAGTTTCCAAGTAGTATTTTCTTGTACAAAATGTAATTTTTCTCTGTTACAGAGGCTGAAATTTAAAATTCTTTTATTTTTGTGGCTGAATTAGGTTGAGTTTTAGAAACACTGTTCTTTGTTTATTCAAATACAAGATCATATTTTCTGAACTAGGGTTGTTTTTGTGAATGTCATGAACAGCAGATTCTTTGTTTCTCTGGAGTTCTGCTAACCCCGCTGTACATTTGTGATGAGCAATGACATCCCAGATCTAGAATACCAAAATCAGCCATGTCACAATTAGGGGAGTCATTTCTGAAAAAGATAAACACATCTTATTTCAGAAGCAGATGATCTCCTAAGAAACAAAGATATTGTTCTCTGTGCAAATGTCATTAACTGAAGAACAAAGCCAAGAATTTAATGCAAGAAGAGTCCATTTGTTTTTAAATAGAAAGTTATAATCCACAAGAAATTATCAATTTCTTTTATAAAAAATAATATTTCTGTATTTTTAGCCATATTTTAAAATTGCATTTATTGATTGTTTTTCTGTGTGTGCGTGTGCATGTGCACCTGTTACCTGTGGAGGTCAGAGAACAAACTCGAGAAGTTGGTTCTCTACTAATACCATGTGGTCCAGGGGCTCCAAAGCAGGTCCTCAAGCTCAGGGGCAAGCAACTTTACCTGCAGAGCCATCTCACTGGCTCCATGTATACCTTTTTTTTTTTTTTTTTTTAAGTATCATAGAGGCCTGGTCTTTAAAATCAGTTTATACACCCATTTTTGATTGATAATTCTTTCGTAATTGAAATCTTGACACATTATTGTTGCAGAAGAAAATGATCATTGTAGTTCTTTTTCATGTCTGACAAGCTTTGAAATCAGTAACTTCTCCTGTAATCTAAATTTTATATCCCAAGTATCTGAATCACATTCTACGTTTTTTGTTAAATCAGAGTATCTTGGGATGTGTTTATCCTTCATGAAAGAATAAACTTACCCTTCTTGAAAGAACAAATTTCTTCTTCTTTATTCTAGTTATCAATATGATCTATTTCACTTAAGAACAGTCATTTGTTCATTAAAGAACTACTTAACTGAGCACTTAATAAGTGTTAGACATTGTGTTAGGTGTTAGATGTACAAAGACATTAAGGATTTTTTTTTTTCCCTCAAGGTGCTATGATTCAGAAAATCAACATTACTGCTCAAGAAAATAATGTCTTTGTTGGAGTTATTGGAGTAGAGGGACATGGGAAAGTAAGCCTGCTTGGGGAGGGGTGGGGTCTGGCAGCTTTAAAGAGGAAGCAGGAAGAAGATGGCTAAGTAGGTAGTGGTTGGAATGCAAAGGAGTTCATCTTGAAGCCTGTGGGTCAGGGAGTTACTGTGAATCACAAGCCAGGGATAATGCAGAGGGATTTACATAGTCATCTTTTTTTTTTGTGGGGGGGAATTAATTTTTTTTGAGACAGGGTCTCCCTGTAGCCCCAGCTGGCCTGGAACTTGCTATGTAGACCAGGCTGCCCTCAATCTCACAGAGATCCACTGGCCTCTACCTTCCAAATGCTAAAACTAAAGGCATGTGCCACCACACCTGGCTACGTGGTCATCTTAGGGAGAGATTGATTAGCC